GCAGCAGCAGCACGAGCACCAGCACCACTGTCACATGAATAGCTGCTACTTTGTTGCTCCTCTGCATCACAGCCTCGTCATCGCCCTAGCCGCAAGTAACTCCGAGCAACCAGAAGCCAAAACCTGCATTTTCTACAAGTCCCTCGCATCACTGACGGGGCTGCACAACCGTAGTGACGGCCATGAATCACTCAAAGTCACCACGGCCTCCGCGGAGGGCGTGGCGGAGGCGTCCTGCAGATGGCTGCTGTTTGCTGGGGATGCAACTTCTGGGCGAATGCTTGTGTCCCTGTCAGACCAGACCACAACACGAAGAATCGGATGCGGGTTGATATGACACGATGAACCCATGAGCAGGCAAGATTGCCGTAGCCGAAGATTCAGATACAGAAACAGTCGAAGGTCCTTTGTAGCCGCGTCTGGGATGTTATCTGCGGCCATGGCCCAAACGCTGCTCGGACTAGGGGGCAACTTGCGTGGGTTTGCGAGACCTCAGTGCTGTCGTAACACATGATCTGGCAGGACAGAAGTGGTTTCGACTACTGTATAGAAGCTGTGTGGCATCACCGTCTTTGGCCAAGTATGTCCTTTCATGTCGATTTGCAGTCTCCTTTTCCCATAGCTCTTCCCGCATCCCTGGTTTCTTGTTAGATTCGACGACTTCGCAGACAGTCGCCCCAAAAAACCTCCATATTCGGCATGTTGGCACTACGATGCTGGCCTGTTGGTTGAGCCGCTAGAAAGCGCTCTCTGCAGCTTCGGGCCGCAAAGATCGCAGAGCAGACCGCCATGTTATTCCACAGCTTCGATCGGGTGGCTCGGGATGTTTCAGGTACCTCTACCGAACCCTGTACTGCCCACAGCCCAGCACCGCAATGCAGCAATTAACAACATATTGAGATACGGATGCCCGCGTCGCCGCAGCTGCTGCAGCTTCTGCTTGCAGACGCGCATGACGCTCGTGATGAACGTGAACACATAACACTGCGACGTGAAGTTGAATATGACAAGCCTCATCATAAGTTATGATGGTGGAGATGCAGCTGTCGGCAACACAACGGCAACAACTATTAAGGCAATTAGTTGCGGCAACGATCCTGATGGTGATACTGTTGGGGATGATGATGATGATGAACATGGTGCTGAAAACTTGAAAAAACAGCCGACACATGTCATGCCACAGGACACTTGTGGCCACCCTGAGAACTAAAGCCTGAACAGAAACCCATAAACCTAAATATATCCACCTGGCTTTCGTATTGGCACTGTGCAAGAGCAGCAACAGTGCAGGCAATGACTAATGTTGGCAGCAGATATGACCCAACACATTGTTGACGCTTTGTCGGTCCGCCGACTGCGGCGAGCGTCATGCGGCCTCGCAAGGACCGGGCTTCCAGGAGGCATCTAGAGTCTAGAGTTGAAGCTATCTTTCTTTCGCTGGCACAAAACCCGTGGCATGCATCCAATAACAATGGGCTGGCTACCACCGGATGCAATAAATTTGCACGATATAAATTTCTCCCAGAGGATGTAATTGAGCTATGCCAGACAACTTAAGCACAGAAAGCTGAGCAAAACGAAAGAAGCCTCTCGCTGCAGCTACTGCGAAAACGACTAGCTACTGTGCTGTTTGTGCTGGCTAAGGGCAATGCAGCGACAACCGCAAGCCCTATGCACGTTTAAGATGCGAGTGCGTCTTTCCCGTGACTGCCACGCAGACTAGTACAGCACTCGCAGGGCGGCGGACCATGTGTGCACGTTCGCAGATGGTGCAAAAAAGGGACCCTGTGTAGGAACACGGTTTAGTATTATGGCACTTATAGAACTCATAGAAAAGCCATCATAATGACAATACTCCTGAGTGTAGCACTTAGGCCCACATAGGAACAGCAGCACGTATAGAAGCAACAGCGACAGCCGTAGCAAGCCTAGTGCTGGACAGTACTGTGATGCTGGTATGTGCTAGGACGCTCAGAACGGGGACTGCAGTAGTGATAACTGGCAAATAAAGCATCCTCTAAGGCAATTTGCTATGATGAGGCCAAAAGCATCTGCTTTGACAAAAGACCCTCACCGCCAACCAAGCAAGCAGCGACGCAGGCATTTGGTGTCTTTTCTTGTTGCCTTCAACTGCTGGCTGAAAGGATCAGCAATTGCCGGGAAAGCAAGGTCTCGCCAAGCTTTGTATATATATATATATATCTATATATATATATATATGTATATGGCATTATATGGCATACCCCTTAATGAGCAAACGCAGCGCCGCACCGAGGAGCAGTTTCGGGGCTACCTATAGATTTTAGATCGACTATATCTTCGCATATCACTCGTAAATCGTAGGACGTTGGATGCTCAGCTCAAGACTCAAGAAAGTACGTGGAGTGGAGCTTGCATACGATCAGCTGCGCTTCGAGCAGCTGCGAAAAGCAAGCAAACCTGTCCAGCTGCCTCACTCTGCATGAAACTCGGGAATAGCTGCGGAGATTCCAAATGCGACCCAAGAGAAGGCATGGCTGGCCAGGGACAAGGCACGAGGCAGGCATGGATTCCATACCCGCGCGGCCATTCCTAACGCTACTAGGGCACATGCTCGCGCAAAGTCCGCGGGCTGTGCTGCAAAATGGGGGCGGCCTCTAGAGCCTCTAGAACCTAGAACCTGGACCATCCAACTTATTCAGGCCCATGTCGATAATTTGCCCTATACTGTACTGGCTCGTGAAATTTCCCCAGCCTTTACCGAGAGGAGTCTGCAACCTAATACAACCCCGCAGCATCGCGTTTTGGCGCATCCATCGAAGCCGGCACGTGGGCCTGCACACTCTGCATGGAATGCCGGGCCTCTACGCATCAATGCAGATCGGTGCTGAGCAGTGGATCGACTGCTAGATTGTGATTCTATGTCGACGCCTTGCAGCTCGGACACCACAAGTGCTTGTGAGTCAGTGTGAAACCCACCGCTTCCAGGATGTCATCTGTAGACTCGCCTACCACACCTGCCTAGCCTGCCGGCGCAGAGCTTTATTTTGAGAACATGGCACCCTGAACCCAAAAGCTCATGTATGACAAACCAAGCTTCAACCCTGAAGGCTGCCTAGCGTGTCATTTTCTGATTCACCGTGAGCCGAGCCACCTTTAATCTCATTTTCCTTCTCTAATCTATCCTGAATGTGTTTGCTCGCCACTTCTACACTAGAGGCTGTTATGAGAACGTTCTGAATGACTTACTATCACATTGGCCATGAGCGGTCCTGTGCTACGACCCAGGAGCCGGACCTAAGCCTGGGAAGCCACGCAGGCCATGATGTCCTGGAGGCAAAGCTTAAATCTGGACCCAAAGAGGCTTCTAACATGACGGCTTCGACTCAAAAACTCGCACAGGGCAGGCACGGATTTAGGGGTCTTTATTTCTCCCTCTGCATTGCTAGGAATCGCCTCTCTCCTCAAAGCCTAGCTAACTAGCATTCTTGAGCTTTTTCCTGGGTTCAGGTTTCAGAGTTGGGGTTAGGCTTTGGCTGCGGTGAGATCGCTGGCTTTCGGGGATTCGGCCTTCCCTTCTTGTCACAACTGGGCTCAGGAATGAGGCTTCAGGGGAGTGTCAAGCCTTCCGGCGATGTGCTTGCTCAAGGTTGTCAGGTGCTGCAGTTCTGCCAAGGGCACACATTAAGGCGGACACGGGTGTAGCTGGTATGAGTTGCGGAATTCTGTTCTGGTTGCAATCATACCTGAAACCATGTGGATCGTTTACCATGAACCATTCAAGTTTGCGCTCATACCCTAATTTAGGGAACTACCCAT